CAAGGAGGTACAATACAGTCAGTTAAGGCTTGCAAGGAAGAGGCAAAACAGCAAAAACATAGAATACATATAAGCAGACAGCTGGAAATCTAGGTTCCTTTTTCATCTCCTGGGCATTTACTTCTAATTGTGAAAGGAATTATCAGAATCAGAAATAGATATTGATCACTGTAACTGTTGTGTTTTCAAGCACCATTTCCCTCTCATAGTCTTACAAACATGTTTTCTCTTTTTGTTTGACTATGTAGGCTCCCTTTTTTTCTATTTTCTTCTTTTTCTTTTTTTACAGGAAGAGAGCTGCCACTCCTGTCCAGAATTTGCCGAGAGATCACTCTGTGTCATTCTTTCAGCATGGATTACAGTGTTGTGATGCACTTCAGAAAATCTACTGACATTGCTGCATTGTGTGGAACATCTGCCCTTTTCTTTCAAATATAGATCTCACTGACAAAGGCACAATTATTGTAAACTTCTTCCTGTAATGACTGGGATCCCTTTGAAATTGATCCAGGGACTGTTGTATGTAGAATATGGCTGTCTAGGTATTCTTTTGTGTGTAAGGTGAAGGGAAACAATAACACCCATTCTCCATGGGCTGTCCTGGTTGCAGAAAAAATTGTGGATTCAATTCAACATCTCATTGAAGTAATCCTTTATCTGGGCCCAAGGTGTATGGCTGTGCCTATTCCTATTGCCCTCCAAGCCTGCTGTTCTTAACTTTAAGGGCTTTCACAACTGTGCCCCTCCTTACTTGTCTGCTCTTATATCTTGTGTCCTTTCCCTGCTTCACCAGTGATGACAGATTTGACCCCTTGCTTGTCTCCATCTCAAACAAATAATTTTATACTTTAACCTCTATCCCTTATGCATGCAACAGTCTCACAGAACTAGTCTGTAAAGCCCCAGCCCTCTCCCCATTTAAATCCCTCCCCAAGACTTACTTCTACCATGATGGCTACCGGAAATTCCCAGATGATAATGACTAGGTAGATGCCTGTGGGGATTGCTGATATTTATTTATAAAACATTTTAAAACATATGTATATGATTTGGAACATCAAGTTAAGCACATAATAAGAACCTGTGTTTTCCACAGGCTAGCTAATATGCTCATCCTCCCTCCGCCTCTGTTTCTTAGGGCTTGTCTATACTTACCGTGCTGGTTCGGCGGCAGGCAATCAAACTTCTGGGTTCGATTTATCGCGTCTTGTCTGGACGCGATAAATCGAACCCAGAAGTGCTCGCCGTCGACTCCGGTAATCCTGCTCGGCGCGAGGAGTACGCGGAGTCGATGGGGGAGCCTGCCTGCCGCGTCTGGACCGCGGTAAGTTCGAACTAAGGTACGTCGACTTCAGCTACGTTATTCACAGCTGAAGTTGCGTACCTTAGTTCGAATTGGGGGGTTAGTGTAGACCAGGCCTTACATGTGTGTCTTGTCAAATTAAATTGTAAGCTCTCCAGGGAAAGGGCTGTACACACATTTGCACACATAATACCAGGCATGTGTCCTTGTACAGGATCCTGAGCCTGGTGGTTAGAATATTCACCAAGGATGTGGGAGACCCAGTTCCCATGTTCCAGTGATGATGTAATTATTTATTTACAGTGCAGCAATTTCAACAGGAGAGACTGAGGGAGCACTGCATCAGAATAGCCCATAGCCCAGTGATTAGAGTACACACCTGAGAGGTGGCAGATCCCTCTTCAAATCCCTTCTCCTGCTCAGGCACAGGGGGGACCTGAATGCAGGGTCTCCCACATCTCAGGTGAGTACCCTAACTGCTGGGCTAAAAGTCCTCCACACACCCAGTTGGCATCTTCCATTGGCTAGCTTAGACAGATCCCTGCCTAGCATGATTTTGTGAACCATTCCAAGGTGCCGGTCTTTTCCCCATGCATTGTATAGGGAGCCTAAGCGCTTAACTTAGGGTTTGTGAATTCCAGTGATTTTCTAGACACCTAAAAGTTAGGTGCTGTGACACTCAGCGCTGCAATGCCTAACTCCTTTTGTGCATCCTGGCCTCTGTGACTGTCTTCAAGACTTGTTAGGATCTGTTCGCCTTTGATGGCTTAGCCTCCTTTTTTGCATTTCTTTTTTGTCTTGGCTTTTGTTTTTGATGACAGATTGGCTTGTTCTTTCTGGGCCACTGGAGGCAGTTCTCTGTTTTGTCATCATTACCCTATCCTGTGTAAGAGGGCCAGTGATCTGATAAGCACCATACAAATAAAAGCAAACCTCTGATTTTTATGATAGACAAGTTGCACTAGTTAATGGTGTTAAATGAGGACATTGCAATTACATGCAGTGGATATATAGTATTCCCTTCTATAGACGATTTAACCTTTTATTAGTTCAAAACCCTAATGAGGGCTACAGAATAAAACAACCCAAAGCAGTATGTTGATGTCAGACACAGCAGGAGGATTGAAAAGAATACCTAGTAGCAGGGCCAGGTCCAGCATTTCTGCCGCCCCAAGCCAAAAAAAAAAAAAAAAAAAACGACCACAACCAGCGGGGGCAAATGGAAAAAAAAAAAAAAAAAAAGCCACAATCGGCGGCGGCCACCCCTCTCCCTTGGCCGCCCTAAGCACCTGCTTGTTAAGCTGGTGCCTGGAGCCAGCCCTGCTAGTAGCAAGGACTTGGTTTGTATAAGACACTTTAATGTTGAATGTAAACTTCTAAATGTCCCAGTGGAGTCCGGGATTCTCATTTAAACAAGCCAGATGATTTCAGAATAATATAGCAGAACTTTGTGTTGTGTAATATATAACATTAGCAGCATATGGAAATATAAATTCGTACATCAAGATTAAAATCAATCTGCACGTACACAGATTTCATTTCTAATCAAAGTTACAGTAGATTTTTATAATCAGCCTTGCACTTATGACAAACTTTAATGTATCATATTGTCACTTGATTAATATGAGCATATCCTGTCTTCAGTAAAAAATATATATGAAGCCTAATATCCTTCCAAGTAGACTGGTGGTCTAAGTAGCTTTATATTCTACCAGACAGTGACAAGTCAACTTCAGAAATTGTTCTTGCACTCTTAACCTGGGATAGCAGGAGCTGGACATTCAATCCCTGTGGAGGCAGAGACAAACGCTTGTCACTTTATAGTGACTCATCTGGATGTTTAGGCAGCACTACTGATTAGCAAAGCCTGGTATCCAGATCTCTTTTATCAGCTAGCGAGTCATTATGCCATGAGTTTGCAGAGAAGGTGGAACAGGAAAAAAGAAGTTTTTTTTTTTTTAATTCTGTTTTTATTGTAAATTATTAGAATAGATAGCTGGTGCACCACCAGTGAAAACATTTGTGTGAGATACTCATACTTCAAATGAAGTTACTGTAGTGTAGTAAATGCTTTGTGGCTGATGTAAAGTCTAACTGCATTGTTTGTCATAGTTGTGTGCGTAACAAGCTATTTGAAAATTTCCTGCTAATACTGTTGTATAAGTCAACTCTTCTCTAATTTAAATAAGGAAGTGAACTTGGATTACTTAATGTTTTCACAGAAGAATAGGGTTAAAATGTACGTGATTCTCACTGAATTCAATGTATTTTATGAAAATGAAAAATATGCTGCAATTTTTCTCTGTTTTAGATGGGATTTGCATAGATCTTTGAGATCAGATAATGAGGCAAGTTTCTGTTACCTTCTTGAACATTCTGCTATACTGTAAGACTCTTCCTGTCCCCACTCCCACCATGAGCATGACAACTTTTGCCAATGGGCATTGCAATATTATATTCTCTTTTCAAAGCAAGTTAAAAATAAATCCTTTGCCTCAGAACCAAATAACCAAGAAGCCCACTCATTAGTCTTTTGGCCAACCTAAAATTGCAAAAAATGCCAATTCTTCACATATTCACTGAAGATTTATCCCTCTTATCCTATTTGAATGCTTCCCATATACTTAACTCCATGCCTATTAGAGTAGCATATGATGTACCTGTGTATACTTATCTGTACATACTTTTTCTAACTATTACTTTAAAGTTAAAAGAAAAGAGTTAAGTTTGCAAATAAGTGCTATACTTGTTAAGGACAACACTTTGGGCAGAAGATGTTGTCCTCAATGGGAACTATTTGCTTCTGTTTGTAAACTTAGTGGGCAAAAGAGAGGCTGGCAGAGGAGCCTGTCGTAACATCTTGACAAATCCACTCCAAGTAAGGTAGGGGTCTAAAGTTCTTCCTTAGCATGAAACACTATATTCAACTCCTTTTCCCGCTCAAAGAAACACCTCAAACTACATTATTTTGTTATTATGTGAGTTTTATTTTAGATGCTACTGCTCATCCAGAGTTCCATTCTCCTTTGTCTTCATCTTGGTGGCCACCTGAGTCTAAAATATTTGGTTAAAGTTACCAGCAGTTGAATGGGTAGATAGAGTGCACAGGTGGGTTGGAGGGGTCTGTAGTGCAATACTAACTGGTAACATATACAGTATGTACAGCTTTCTATAATTAATCCATGCATTTTTGCATTCATTATTTGTAAGGCAGTTTAAAAAAGGATTTTCAAAACTCCACTGACCAGTTGCTCCTGAATAATAGTGGGCTGCTGAGGCTGTGCAAACGGCTTGGCTTTAATTAATATTTCCTGGCAATATTTTGCCTTTTCACAATATAAAATTACAATACAATATAAAAATAATACATCTTTTCATCACAGGAACTCTTCAACACTGTCAAGTGCAATTTCAGTATTTTAATGCTTTGGATTTAAGCTTCAGGTCCATTTTTAAAGTGCAAATTCTGCTGGGAGCAAGTTTCCAGAGTTTTCTTAGAGTATCATGTTCTGTACAAAAGACTAAGCTCTTGATCTTGCTCCTCAGGAGGGTCTGCATTTTAAATGAGCAATGCTCTTTTCCCCCCTTCCTATGAGAGAGCCCATCCAATGGTTGTTAAGGATACTCCAGTTCCTCTTACTGTGGATGTAGTTAATGGGATGCCATAAATTTACATCATTAAGCTCTGAGTTCATCTTTACATTTCACTCTGAGAGATAGGCTCAGTTCCATTTTCACAAATGCTTTTCTCATTTTCCATTTTCTTCTTTTCATCCTCATCAAGTTGGGCTTCAATCTCAACTGGATCCACATAGGTGTAAAAATAAGCCATGATGGAAAATATAATGCAAACTGCCATCAGTAAAGCAGCAAACAGCACGTATTCTGCCCACTGTAAAGAAACAAACGTTATTATTTATCTATAGGCATTTCTATGGTTCACTATCATAATGCTATTTTACTGTAAACAAACAGACATTCCTGAATTGGTTCAAAAGATAGACAATAATTCTATCTATATTCTCTCTCTCTCACACACACACACAAAGAATTATGATGTGGCTTTAGAAGGGACTAGGTACCCAAATTAATGCACTTTGGACTTTTGAGATCTGTCCAGCTATCTCATGTACATCTAAAAATAAACCAAAGTATAAAGTCTGGGCATGCTGAGAAGGCTCTACAGCATCACCTGGAACAGACTGCAGAGTTACTGATTGACTGCAGATGAATCTCTATATAGTTCTTTGTCTAGAACTGTATTTACCCTAGTGCAATGGTTTTCAACCTCTTTTCATTTGCAGACCTTTAAAAAATTACGAATGGAGATGTGGACCCCTTTGGAAATCTTAGACATAGTCTCTGGACCCTCCGGGTCCGTGGACCACAAGTTGAAAACCACTGCCCTAGTGGGAGCTAAACAGGCATGATCTTATTCCCACTGAAGTCTATGGCAAAGCTTTCACTGATTGCAGTGAGTGCAACTCGAACCCTCACATTCACGCAACCTTTCTGTTCTGTGTTTGTACAGCACCTAGCGCAATAGAACACTGGTCATGATGAAGTCTCCTAGGCACTACAGTAATACAAATATATAACAAATTAATTAAATAAGTACTCAAGAGTGGAAAACCTTAATTAATCATGTTTTGTTTTCTTGCTGCTCAGCCTAGCAGGGGTCAGGAACGTCCTAAAAGTCCACGTTTAAGAAGGGGGTCATTTTTCCCCCCTGAACTGAAGCCTTCTAATTAGAGTGACACTGATACTTTCTGAAGGGATCCTGCCTAGTCCTCTTTGGCCAGAAGAACAGTGACTCTGATGCCAGGTGCTGAAGGTAGAGGTTTTTAAATAATGGGAGGGCAGAAAGGGATTCTGTAGGCCTCATCTGTGGATAGCAGAGGAACCCTGGTGGGTAGAGATTAAAAACATGTTTTTCCTGGGCTGCCCTATTATTGTCCCATTAGCCCAGCTGAGCTTCTACCATTTGCAGGAGTAGTCTTCCCCTCCTCGTGATCACTGTAGTAATTTCTCTTTTAGGGTCCTGCACTTAGGACAGAAGAATCCCATGCATTACTACAGGCTTGGGACCGACTGGCTAAGAGGCAGTTCTTCAGAAAAGGACCTGGGGAATACAGTGGATGAGAAGTTGGATATGAGTCAGCAGTGTGCCCTTGTTGCCAAGAAGGCTAACAGCATATTGGACTGCATTAGTAGGAGCATTGCCAGCAGGTCGAGGGAAGTGATTATTCCCCTCTATTTGGCACTGGTGAGGCCACATCTGGAGTATTGCGTCCAGTTTTGGGCCCCCCACTACAGAAAGGATGTGGACAAATTGGAGAAAGTCCAGCGGAGGGCAATGAAAATGATTAGGGAGCTGGGGCACATGAGTTATGAGGAGAGGCTGAGGGACTGGGTTTATTTAGTCTGCAGAAGAGAAGAGTGAGGGGGGGATTTGATAGCAGCCTTCAACTACCTGAAGGGGGGGGTTCCAAAGAGGATGGAGTTCGGCTGTTCTCAGTGGTGGCAGATGACAGAACAAGAAGCAATGATCTCAAGTTGCAGTGGGGGAGGTTTAGGTTGGATATTAGGAAAAACTATTTCACTAGGAGGGTGGCGAAGCACTGGAATTGGTTACCAAGGGAGGTGGTGGAATCTCCATCCTTAGAGTTTTTAGGCCCAGCTTGACAAAGCCCTGGCTGGGATGATTTAATTGGGGTTGGTCCTGCTTTGAGCAGGGGGTTGGACTAGATGACCTCCTGAAGTCCCTTCCAACCCTGATATTCTATGATTCTATGATTTGCAACTTTCAAAAGGGCTGAACTAGCCTGTTTCATGAACAGTGCAGGAATTAGGAGTAGAAAAAGCTTGGGGGGGGACACAGCTGGCAGGAACTCCTAATAATTTTTTTTTAAAAGAAGAGTAGTTTTAAAATGAATCTTGGAAGAACTAGAGAGTTCCAGCAGAATCTTAAGCAGGTGCTCCAAACTCCAATCCACCAACTATCTCTCTCCCATATAGTAAGGAAAGCGACTCTTCATGGTATGTAACCAAGGATATGAAGGAGCCCCTCCTCAGAACTGTATCTTAATATAGCACCCAGAAAATCTGGTCAGTGTATACTGTATAGTATACACATCAGACATTATCTAAATAGGTCACAACAGCTTGTGTGATAATGTTAGTTACCCAATTATCTCAGTGTTCTTCATATGGTCTAGTGAGGCCTTTACATCTGACCTGAGGTCACTCAATGGTAATTCTGCATGGCTGACTGTGGGTTTCAATGACTCTCTTCCAGCTAGTGGGTTTTTTTTAATCACATGCTCTTGTTATAATAACTAAAAATCCACCATAGTAACGAAATGATGCAAAAAAGAAGGTTATGAGGCTTATCTATGATTGTTCCCCCCTGTACCATAGCTGTATAGTATACTGAACTGATATAGTAAGCAATAAGAATACACTATACCAATACAGTTTTGTGCTAATGTCTATTTACCTGCTCACTGAGTTTTGATGCCCCAGCCACAATAAGAACAATGATGTTACCAACAGCCACAGTCAGCAGCCAGCCTGCCTGAAGCACCGATTTCATGTTGGAAGGTGCCTGCAGAAACAAGATATTTAATTGAATTGCTTTGCACCTTAACACATCTTATAAAAGTAGATTATGTAGGTTCATGTTCAATCTTCAAAGTTTAGCTGATTCTTAACATTAACCTGGGTAAAGAATGTGAGCGAAGCCAAACAGCAAAAATTAAGATGTTTGTACACCAATGCGAGGAGCCTAGGTAACAAAATGGAGGAACTAGAGTTACTGGTGCAGGAAGTGAAACCAGATATTATAGGGATAACAGAAACATGGTGGAATAGTAGTCATGACTGGAGTACAGGTATTGAAGGGAATGTGCTGTTTAGGAAAGACATAAATAAAGGCAAAGGTGGTGGAAAAGCATTGTATATCAACGATGAAGTAGACTGTAAAGAAATAAGGAATGGAATGGATAAGACAGAGTTTGTCAGGGCAAAAACCACATTGGGGAAGAAAGCTACTAGAGCCTCCCCTGAGATAGTGCTTGGGGTGTGCTATAGACCACCGGATCTGATTTGGATATGGATAGAGACCTTTTTAATGAAGTAAATACTAATGGGAGACTTTAACTTCCCAGATATAGATTGAAGGACAAGTGCTAGTAATAATCATAGGGCTCAGATTTTCCTAGATGCGATAGCTGATGGATTCCTTCACCAAGTAGTTGCTGAACCAACAAAAGGGGATGCCATTTTAGATTTGGTTTTGGTGAGTAGCGAGGACCTCATAGAAGAAATGGTTGTAGGGGACAACCTTGGTTCGAGCGATCATGAGCTAATTCAGTTTAAACTAAATGGAAGAATAAAAAATAGATCTGTGACTAGGGTTTTTTATTTCAAAAGAGCTAACTTTAAAAAAATTAAGGAAATTAGTTAGGGAAGTGGATTGGACTGAAGAACGTGTGGATCTAAAGGTGGAGGAGGCCTGGAATTACTTCAAGTCAAAGTTGCAGAAACTATCAGAAGCCTGCATCCCAAGAAAGGGGGAAAAATTCATAGGCAGGGGTTGTAGACCACGCTGGATGAGCAAGCATCTCAGAGAGGTGATTAAGAAAAAGCAGAAAACCTACAAGGAGTGGAAGATGGGAGTGATCAGCAAGGAAAGCTACCTTATTGAGGTCAGAACATGTAGGGATAAAGTGAGAAAGGCCAAAAGCCATGTAGAGTTGGACCTTGCAAAGGGAATTAAAACCAATAGTAAAAGGTTCTATAGCCATATAAATAAGAAAAAAACAAAGAAAGAAGTGGGACCGCTAAACACTGAGGATGGAGTGGAGGTTAAGGATAATCTAGGCATGGTCCAATATCTAAACAAATACTTTGCCTCTGTCTTTAATGAGGAGCTTAGGGATAATGGTAGGATAACAAATGGGAATGAGGATATGAAGGTAGATATTACCACATCCGAGGTAGAAGCCAAACTTGACCAGATTAATGGGACTAAATCGGGGGCCCAGATAATCTTCATCCAAGAATATTAAAGGAACTGGCACATGAAATTGCAAGCCCATTAGCAAAAAAAAATGTTAATGAATCTGTAAATTCAGATTCATTACCGTATGACTGGAGAATTGCTAACATAGTTCCTATCTTTAAGAAAGGGAAAAAAAGTGATCCGGGCAACTACAGGCCTGTTAGTTTGACATCTGTAGTATGCAAGGTCTTGGAAAAAATTTTGAAGGAGAAAGTAGTTAAGGACATTGAGGTCAATGGTAATTGGGACAAAATACAACATGGTTTTACCAAAGGTAGATAGTGCCAAACCAACCTGATATCCTTGTTTGAGACGGTAACAGATTTTCTAGACAAAGGAAACGCAGTGGATCTAATTTACCTCGATTTCAGTAAGGCATTTGATACAGTTCCACATGGGCACTTATTAGCTAAATTGAAAAAGATGGGGATCAATATGAAAATTGAAAGGTGGATAAGGAACTGGTTAAAGGGGAGACTACAACGGGTGGTACTGAAAGGTGAACTGTCAGGCTGGAGGGAGGTTACTAGTGGAGTTCCTCAGGGATCAGTTTGGGGACCAATCGTATTTAATCTTTTTATTACTGACCTTGGCACAAAAAGTGGGAATGTGCTAATAAAGTTTGCGGATGACACAAAGTTGGGAGGTATTGCCAATACAGAAAAGGACCAGGATATCATACAGGAAGATCTGGATGACCTTGTAAACTGGAGTAATAGTAATAGGATGAAATTTAATTGTGAAAAGTGCAAGGTCATGCATTTAGGGATTAATAACAAGAATTATTGTTATAAGCTGGGGACGCATCAGTTGGAAGTAACAGAGGAGGAGAAGGACCTTGGAGTATTGGTTGATCACAGGATGACTATGAGCCACCAATGTGATATGGCTGTGAAAAAAGCTAATGCGGTCTTGGGATGCATCGGGAGAGGTATTTCCAGTAGAGATAAGGAGGTGTTAGTACCGTTACACAGGGCACTGGTGAGACCTCATCTGGAATACCGTGTGCAGTTCTGGTCTCCCATGTTTAAGAAGGATGAATTCAAACTGGAACAGGTACAGAGAAGGGCTACTAGGATGATCCGAGGAATGGAAAACCTGTCTTATGAAAGGAAACTCAAAGAGCTTGGCTTGTTTAGCCTAACCAAAAGAAGACTGAGGGGAGATATGATTGCTCTCTATAAATATATCAGAGGGATAAATACCAGGAAGGGAGAGGAATTATTTAAACTCAGTACCAATGTGGACACAAGAACAAATGGATATAAACTGGCCATCAGGAAGTTTAGACTTGAAATTAGACAAAGGTTTCTAACCATCAGAGGAGTGAAGTTCTGGAACAGCCTTCCAAGGGGAGCAGTGGGGGCAAAAGACATATCTGGCTTCAAGACTAAGCTTGATAAGTTTATGGAGGGGATGGTATAATGGGATAGCCTAATTTTGGCAACTAATTGGTGTTTGACTATTAGCGGTAAATATGCCCAATGGCCTGTGATGGGATGTTAGGTGGGGTGGTATCTGAGTTACTACAGAGAATTCTTTCCTGGATGTCTGGCTGGTGAGTCTTGCCCAAATGCCCAGGGTTTAGCTGATGGCCATAGTTTGGGTCGGGAAGGAATTTTCCTCCAGGGCAGATTGGTTGAGGTCCTCGGGGTTTTTCGCCTTCCTCTGCAGCGTGGGGCATGGGTCACTTGCTGGAAGATTCTCTGCACCTTGAAGTCTTTAAACCATGATTTGAGGACTTCAATGGCTCAGACATAGGTTTGATACAGGAGTTGGTGAGTGAGATTCTATGGCCTGCGTTGTGCAGGAGGTCAGACTAGATGATCATAATGGTCCCTTCTCACCTTAAAGTCTATGATTCTATGAAATGCTGCTGATTTTTATTTAAAGAATTGTGGGAAGGGCAGGGAAAGATTGTGGAAGCAGTAAATTTCCAGTATTGCTTATAATACTGCAATTATTGTGTACAATGAGTGATTAACAAGCATATTTTACATATGACTCAAACTCACTGGGTACAAAATTGTTGCTGAAATCAGAGTTCACAATAACAAATCAAATTATATCTGTCTAGGTACTTATAAGGTACCCATCACAACAGTATATGAGCACAACATGTTACAGTACATATACTATTCATCAGAATGAAAGGAAAAGGACATAAAAAAGAAAAAGCACTCATGGCTAATATGTGAGACAAATTGGAGTGTCTTAAAAAATAAGGGGAGAGAAATTATTTAGGGTGATAAAGTGGTACACAATTAAACTGATGCAAAAGGCTCTTATTTCAGTTTAAATAAGATTTGTTTTGTTTTAGCTTAAATTGACAAGGGACACTTTGAAGCTAAAACAAAATAAACCACTCTGAAATAAGAGTGTCCACACAGGAGTTTAAAGAGCAATTTAAATTAAACTAGCACAACGTATGTGTGTACACAAGGTCTCAGTATCTATTCATTCTGTTTTTAGCTTTTCCCCACCCAGAGCTGGCTCCATAACAAGAAGCAGTACAGCCCTGGTGCCAAGAGTTTCCATTGGCAGGCAGTTTGTATGATGGAGTGACCTGAAGACTGGTGGTCAGATCATCAGCTACTGTAAATCAAATAGTCTGATGAAATCAACACAGAAGTCATTGAAAAATGCTAATTTACGCCAACAAAAAATCTGGCAACTTCTGATTCGCATAGATGGTGGTGACGATTATTTTTCTTTAGTGATAGTCTAATTGTTTTTCTGTCTGCTTGGTAAGACTATTACATTCATCAGTAAAAGGTGAAGACATATCTCAGGAATACTAATGTTATTGATGGAAAACCTCCTACCTGAGAATAGGAAAATGCCAGTCCAGTGACAGAGAAGACCACTTCACCACATGTCATAATGAAGTACTGAGGGATCTGCCAAGCCATGTGAACTGTATTGGGTTGGATATCTTCAACGTATCTGAGTTCTAGTCTGTTGTTGTTACACTGAAGAAATAATAATGAAAATGGTACATTAAAAAACAATGATGAAAATGCTGCATGTTTTCTAAAGATAAAAATATGCTATGAGATTTTCATCAGGGAGCAACCCTCCCATCTATGTTAAAATAAATCAACAGTGCATAGAGAATTTTAAATTAGTGATAATTTTGTGACTGAGTCCATATTAAGACCTTTAAGCCCTGGGTATCTGACCAGACTCCAGGTTTTTAAGTCTGTTAGGCAGAAACTAGAACCCCTACATTATTAACTGATTCACCATACGTATTTTGATTCAGAATGCAACCCATTACCTCCATTATTATTTTTATAGTTTATTAAAACTACATTAAGATAAAATATTCTAATATGTGAGATAAGTCCATATAGTTATTTTATATTTCAGCAATAACAGGTAATTTGTTCAATGGCAATTAAAACAAAATTAAGAAGTAGTGTAACACAAAAGTTATTCTGCATCTTCTAGCAGCACTGGCAATTTACCTCTTGAATTACAATAGTGTATGCACTGCCATATCCAAATGGTATTGACTGATTTTTGCAAGTCAGTGAATTGTCTCCAAAAACAACAATCTCTTTTCTGAAAAACAAAGAAGTTAATCTAAATAACTCTGGAATTAATTGTACTTACATAATAATACCATGAATTCCATGTACTTTTTCTGAAGACAAAGACTATTTTTTTTTCCTGGAAGTCTTTGGATTAAGGTAAAGCAAAATACTTACACGCCTCTTGTAAAGGATGTATAATTGGTGGCAGAAAAATTCTTCACATCTGCAAGATAAGTACTACCCATTGTGATGTTGATGGTTGAAGCCAAATTGTTTATAAATCTTTACAAAACAAAAAGAATATAATACTTGCTTATAAAACATGACAACATAAGTAAAACTTACACAAAGCTAACATTCTTTACATTATATGCTGGCAATGCAACAGATATTTGAAATAATTTTCCTCCCCCAGCTCATCTGAATAGATTTTGATCATTTTTAAATGACGTTTTCTCTTCTCTTTAAAAATTTATAGCTGATGCAAGAAGCAAAACAGAATCCATCTCCCTTTCCAGATGAGTCAATAAGTTAAAACCTGTTTTTTTCAGTAACAAATGAAAATTCAGGTTGAAGATGCACAGGAAGCAGAAACAAGATATTGACTATAAAGATGCCATTTTAACACTCAGCTGAAGTAAAGCAAATGTTTATTAACGATACCTGATTTGATTTTTTCCATCTTCTGACTTTGATGTAAGGCCATCAAGCAGCTAGTGGAAAAGACAATTATCATTAATAAGATATTTGTGTTGGTATCTTTGACATGCTATGATGCGCACTATTATGTACCAATATCCACTATCTCTTACTTCAGAATAAGACTCCAAGGGTAGATCCACAGAGTTAGGCCAGTGTCTAACTACTACTTTTGGTGCCTAAATACAAAACTTAAATCCTCATAACTTCAGCTGCCATCTAACTCTATAAGCAACAAAATTTCCACTGGTAAAGTCCCCATGGCACCTAACTTTCTGCTGGTGGGCATGTGCTAAGACACCTTAATACTAATGTTCAGCTCACACCTCAGCCCCAGTAGGATCCCCCACATATCTCACCTGTGGGGCCTGATCTGGTAGGCATTCTCAGAAGCTGTCTACCAGGTTGGACCCCAAACAAAACAGAAGAGGAGGTGATGCCAGTGCTCCCCTTACGCTTAATAAAGCAGGATATGGGAGAGACCCAGGTTCAAATCCCCACTATGCATGAGCTGGAGCAAGAATTGAACACAGGACTCCTACCTCACTGCCCTAACCACTGGGCTATACAGTATTTTGGGATGGGCCTCTCTCAAACACTCCTGTTGAAGCCATTCCACTTTGTATGAAATATTTAAATATTAATTGGGCCAGAGAGAGAGTCATTGTTACTCTCTCTAGGGCACTCACTTATAAGACCCAGGTTCCAATCCCTGCTCCAATGGCTAAGTATTTCATAAAAAGTGGAACAGCTTCAAGAAAAGAGTAGTCTATAGCTCAGTGGTTGGGGCACTCACATGGAACATAAGAGAGTTGCATTCAAATCCCTGCTCCAGCTCATGCAGAGAGAGAGAACTGAACCATGGGCTTCCACATTTTGGGTGAGTGGTCTAACTACTGGGCTTAAAAGTGGCACTACCACCACCTAATTTTTATTTATTTATTTTGTGAAAAAGGACTGACTTAAGCACCTAAATCGAGGAGATGGTTCATGGCTGTGAATCTTTAGCAGAGGGAGGTGCCTCCTGCTCATCCAGAGATGGGCACCTACCTCTGGCATTTCCTATTGACTAGCTTGGGCAAACCCCCACCCCAATCAGCTTGCTGACTTTTGTGAATTCCTTTCTTAGGGTCTTACTTTCCCTATGCACTGGATAGGGAGATGTGTTGCTTAACTTGGGGCTGTGGATTCCACGAGCTGACAGGGCACCTCAATGCTAGGTGCTGTATCATGGAGGCCTGGTCAACACTGAAAATTTAGATCAACATAGCTATGTCATTCAGGATCGTGAAAAATTCACATCCCAGCATGCCGTAGCTATGCTGATCTAACCCCTGGGGTAGATGTGAGCAAGTCAACAGAAGAATGTTTCTACCAACCTCGCTACCACTGCTCAAGGAGGTAGATTATCTACATCAATAGAAAAGCCCATGCCAACACTGTAGGAAGCACCGGTGTTACAGCAGCATAGCTACAGCATCATAGCTGTGCTGCAATAACACTAAGTCCCTTTTGTGGACCTGCCCCCAAGTCTCATCTTTAGAGTTTTGTTAATACATGTGATTGTTGTGAAGCATGAAACTAAGACCATCCATTTAAAATTATTTATGTTTATCCAGAAATGTTTAAACTATATATTAAATTACATTAAACTTCACTTGAGATTAACTCTCTCCATTTAAGAAGATTGGAAGGGTATACTAACTAGGAATTAAACAAGCTTACCAATTCAGTTTGGATGCCACCTGTATTTTTTAGTATAAGAGTATGACGTTCTTTTCCCGGAAAATTAAGAGACTGAGTTAAGGTTTGATTTCCATAGGCTATATTCATTCCTGTTAAGCTAGTAGTGTCAAATGTCATATAGTTTGTCTATATAAAAAAAAAGAGAGAGAACATTTGCTATGTATATTCACATAACTGTGAGTCTGTCTATGCATTTATCAGAATCCTGCTGACTCAAGAGTTCTGAAATTTATTAGGTATGTTGCACATGATCTCTGGTACTTCATACAAGTCTCATAAATCTCACTGAAGATTTTTGTTCAGTTTTCTGCATCTAAAACCACTGTAATCATTTTGTCCATAAATGGTTTTGGTTCATTTCTTTCTTCACACAGACCTTTCCACCCCCACGCAATCCCATTTTGGGTTGAGACCCCCACGGTTACAAAACCATGAAATTTCAGATTTAAATATCTGAAACCATTAAATTTATGATTTTTTAAATCCTATGACAATGTAATTGACCAAAATGGACCGTGAATTTGGTAGGGCCCTACTCATAGAGTGTGGGAAAGGAAGTATCTCTGCATTGCTAAACCTCCATAAGAACTGGTACTCGTTAACATCCTTGTTGAAAGTCTCAGCAGACAATCCAAAGACTGTATGGTATGGAGGCTGCACTATCGTTGAATGCTTCCTCCAGAACAAGGTTGAGGCACATTGGCACTGCCATGTGGAAAATTCTGCACTGTCTCTGTTGGTGCTGTACCTGTACCATGGTTAAACAGAGGACTTCACACCTCTGTATCAATTTAACATCTGGTGGGAGCAACAAGTTTACTTAGAAATAGAAGGAAAATTATCAGCACTTCCACATACTGCTGTGAATGAAATTCTTGGTACTCTGAAGTCTGGGTGAAGGAAGAAATGAACCAATTATGTGAATTCCAATACTAGGGGGTTGCTGTGGGGGATATTGTGCTGCTGCCTTCAGAGCTGGGCAGCCAGAAGGCAGCTGCAGGCCAGGCACCCAGCTCCTGAAGGCAGCACCACCTCCAGCAGCAGAGCAGAAGGAAGGATGGCAATACCATACCATGTGACACGCACTTCTGCGCTGCTGCTGGCAGCAGCGCTCCTTTCAGAGTTGGATTCCCAGCCAGGAACCATGGAGCTTCCTGCATCCAGGGAAGGTTCCCAGAGATGAATCTGACCCAGCCTTGGGAGTGGCCCATGCAGAGGAAGAGGAAGTCCTGTCCTTCCCTAGCCCCTCCAGGACTAGCAGCAGGAGCCCAGCATTTGGGAATTAAAGGATCTTTGTGCAGGCTATGTGTGTGTGTAGGGAGGGGGAGGGTTTGACCACGGCACCCCCCTGACCATGGGGCCCTGCACAGTAGCCCACTTGCCCACCTGTAAGGCCAGCCCTGGCTCCCCCCCACCCTCTAAAGTGACGACCCACCCATACCATGCCACCTCACTTCTGCACTGCTGCTGGCATCGCCGCTTCCTTCAGAGCTGGGCTCCCAACCAGCAGCCACCGCTCTCCGGCTGCCCAACTCTGTGAAATCTGGTCTCCCCTACAATAGCCAGATTTCACAAGGGAGACCAAATTTCAGAGTTTGTGACATGTTTTTCATGGCTGTGAATTTGATAGGGCCCTAACTATGAGTATGTAAAGTACAATGTGCCCTGACTTCAGTTGAAGTCTCACGCTGCTACTGTAATAGAAATTAATAATAGTAATGCATATGGATATTTGTCAGCTAGAACTGGACTGAGAGGACAAACTAATTTCACAAAGACCAACCACTAGCCATCAGATGGTAATAATTTTTATTCACCACAGACTTATCCTGAACTGGATTTGAACTGATACTCTACAGGTGGAGGACTCTCCATCCCACTGCTAAACCTTAAAATCACCCAGTCCCTCCAGAAGCATTATTTCATAGATATCACTTCTATAGAAGTGAAAAATTGACCTAAGTTATGGATGTGGAGTGAGTTCCCCTTGCTGCAGGAAAGAAATAGACTGTTTCATGAGAAGAAGAGCAAGATGGCCTGAAAACATAAACTAAATTCTGATAACTCTCACCAGCTTCTCATGCTAATAAACTTTTTTGGTCCTCTGTTTAGCAGGAAAGGAGAGCTAATAGCAGATGACATCAAAAGGCTGAGGTATTTAGTATCTATTTTGCTTCAGTCTTCACTAAAAAGGTTAATGGTGACCAGATATTTAACACAATTAATATTACCATCAGGGAAGGAGTACAAGCCAAAATAGGGAAAGAATAGGTTAAAGAATATTTAGATAAGTTAGACGTATTCAAGTCACCAGGGCTTGATGAAATTCAACCTAAGGTACTTAAGGAACTAGCTAAAGTAATCTCAGAACCATTAGCCAGTATCTTGGAGAACTCATGGAGGATGACGGGTGAGGTCCCAGAGGACCGGAGAAGGGAAAATATAATACCTATCATTAAAAAGGGGACCAGGGCAAAATCTGAAACTGAGGCCCCCACCCTTCCAAAAAATTTGCAGCCACAGAAATCATTAAACCAAGGGTGCAAAAACACTGAAGGGAGGCCAGTGTGGGAGGGGGAGTTGGAGAGCAAGCCTGTCCTGCACTCACCCTGCAGCAGCAGCAGCTCCTGTCCCGTGGGGATGGGCTCAGCTCCCTGCACCAGGCATTGCAATCTGAAGCATGGCACTGCAGTACCACTCAAGTTTGGCCCAGCTGACCCTCTGTCATGAGGGAAGGGTGGCTGGGCATAAACTGAGTGGTACTGTGACCATGTGCACCAGGTTGCAAAACCACTTGGTTTGGGGAGGCCCCTCTCTAAGAGGGGGCTTAGGGCAACCTGGTTCTTTTGCCTGCCCCCACATGGGCAGCCCTTAAGGGGAACAAAGAAAACACAAGGAATTATAGACCAGTCAGCCTAACTTTGATACTTGGAAAGATACTGAGACAAATTATTAAAAATCAACTTTGTAACCAACTAGAGGATAATAGGGTAATAAGTAATAGCCAATATAGATTTGTCAAGACCAAATCACGTCAAACCAACCTAATTTCCTTATTTGACAGGTTTACTGGTCTAGTGGATAGGTGAGAAGCAGTAGATGTGATATATCTTAATTTCAGTAAGGCTTCTGACATAGTCCCACATGATATTCTCATAAGCAAACTAGGGAAATGTGGTTTAGATGAAATTTCTATAAGGTGGCTTCAAAACTGCTATAAAGACCACACACTCAAGAGTAGTTATCAATGGTTTGTTGTCACACTAGGAAGGTGTAGCTACTGGGTAAGAAAGCCGTTTTTTTACAAAATGATTAGTGACTTTTTTCTCCAAAATTTTTATTTAAAAGTTTTTTAAAACATTGTTGAAATGGTTATCAATTTTTTCATTTACTAAAATGCAGATTTTCAGTAAACAAAACATATTTAAAAAAAAACTTGTGAAAAATTTAGAAAATAAGTTTTAATTTTTTTACCAACTCTAATCATTACTCTTTCTTACCGCCATCAGAGATTCCACAGACATATTTTCAACTCCAGGGCCAATGTCAACTTTTGCAACATCAGTGCCTAAATTTATTACTTTGATTTGGGATTGCCCTTCTTTCGGGAAGTTTGGAAGAGTTTTCTTGGTGAAAAAGAGTGAAATAAATTAAACAGTAAGTAATAAATATAATATAATATATAATATAATCACAATGACCTTAGTACTTATGAAGAAAATTGACATTTGCACGACACCTGTGATTAACACACATGGTGACAACATGTTTCCGTATGCTTCCTCACCCTTTATACTAGAAAGCCTAAGAAAAGGAACTCCTTTTTTCTCAGCAAGACTTCCACAACCCCGTAAACCTATTATCCATTTTCCTTCTGTGGTTTGCTGTCAACATCAGGACCCTTCAGGACTCAGGGTACAGGCATCAGGGGCTCCAAGGCTTTCTCACAGTCTACAACAGGCCATATTTCTGAATTCCCTTTCATCCTATCTTCTGTCCCATTTACAACAGATGATGACTAACCAGGGTGTAGCCATAAGTGGGACCCTTCAGCAGGAAGGTATCAGGCCAAAGAGAGAAACCAGGCTCCATTTTCACTTCCAACCCATTCTGACAAGAAGAAGCCACCATATTAGTGGATAAAATGGCCTTTGTACCTGTGTGCACTGAGATTTGGTAGAGCCATATGCATTTTCATTTCTTTCCCACAAGTACTACCCTACGTAGCTTTTAATGTTATCTCTTTTCCATTGTCCGCATATATCACTATAAAAAAATGCTCTCTGGTCTTTTTTTAAATTTCTATAGGTAGCTAATCATTTTGGGTGAAGTTCATCCCTGGGCACGAAGCCAGCATAGGGCTATTTAAGTCCCCCTTCCTCTCAAAACAGGACATAAAGCAAGATGGAACTACACAATTTATACCAGCTGAAGATCTAGCCCTTTAATCTTATCTTTAACAAGCAGTGTTGAAAGTAAAACTCATTGTATTCCAATGGATTCACACATTAAATCAACAGCATTTCACTCTTAATTTGTGACATCACATAGCTCTGGGGTTGTGTCACACTTACCCTCCGCTCAAAACAAATCAAAAAGGTCAGATATGCAAATGAATTCCTCAACAAACCAAACAACTAAGTCTTCTGGTTTTAAACTTTGAACTTCAATTAAAATTAAAAACCCATAACAAAGACAGATAAGAATATGCTGCTGAGGAACTCTTCTAGCTTATTAATTTTATCATAGATCACATTACATTCCATGACACATATATACCAATACGTTCTCTTCCCTCTATTTTTTATAAAAACATTCTTGGTTAATTCGTATAGAAAGAAATGATTAATTGCCATGGTTTGGACCATTTGCACTCTCACCAAAATCTGTTTAGTAATTAAAAAGCTAAATAGCAATATCATCATTTGGTTGTGTTCGGCTTAACTTACATCGATTTGCACTTGTACCAGTGCAGCAGCAACAAAAGCCAGAGATGCAAGAAACATACCAACTGTAATCTTCCTCAGGGGCCTAGTATAGCAACAAAAAACATGAATTTTAGGAGTAGTATTAATCCAAAAATTCAGCTGTGAGTCTCCATTTTCATTATGGAGAACATTAAGATGACTATTGATAGTATATTATTACCCTGTGAGTATTGATATGGTTACAGAAAATACCCTTTTAAGCCTTACATATCTCAGTGTCAGTTCCCAGTTACCATTTAGGGAAATCTAGACTCCTTGAAATTACATCACTAGTCCATTTAATAATCTGTTGCTCAAGATCTATATGGCTCATTTCTATGATTAGCCATCATCTGAACAATTATTAGGTTTGCACAGTTGACCTAAAAAGTCTGATTTACTCAGAAAGGGAACTTAACTCATTTAAGGCTGCAAAGAATAAAAAGAGCTACAGAAGTGCATAGTTATGGCCTGTACAAAAGGAAGATTACTTATTATGCATATACTACTATGTTAAAATCTGAAAAGTACTGAACTAAAAAAAATTCGGAGAGATATGGTTTTTAGGTCTAATGACATTTTAAGGAATTATTAAATTTAGTACCATGGCAATAAAAGTCAGTCTAGGGCAGGGATCGGCAATCTTTGGCACGCGTGAAGCGGTGCGGGCCGAGGGATGTGCTGGCCACTGCTTTCCGACGTCCCCATTGGCCTGGAACGGCGAATCATGGCCAGTGGGAGCTGCGATCGGCCAAACCTGCCAAAGTTTGCCGATCCCGGGTCTAGGGCAAACTATCTATTTATGGCATCAAATAATGGCTGTGGAGGGCCCATGTATGAAGGAGCCAAGTAAAATTTTCATTCCCAGGAAAGAACATAAAAGGTTCTGCCTCTCTGATGTAATCAAAATCTTAGTGGGAAGAGGATGGGAGGGCCAGCAGGTTTGCAATAGGGGAAGTTCACATTCCCACAACAATTTTCATAAATGGATAAAAGCTAAATGTAATAAATGGGTCAGAAAAGAACAGTACAGTAAGGAAATTTGATTTTTAAATTTCTCTTACCATTTCTTTATTTGATACTAAATTTATCAATAATGCCCATACATCAGTTGTGACTGTTTGTTGGGCACACTACAGTTGTAGTACTAGAAACGTGGGTTCCAGACTTATATAAAATCAATGAGGAAAGCAAGAGAATCAGAGAAAAAAATCAGGAATATACTGTAAATACCCAAAACAGGGAACTTTAATTTGAAACCCTGTAAAAATAAATTAATTAATAAATTAATTTAAAAATTCCAGTTACAAAATTCATGTAGCTTCTTTATGATGAATCACCCCTTCCTAAGACTCAGTTATGATAGAGCATCTGGCTGAATTCTAGCCTAATTTTATGTCTTCCTGCCACTGAGTCTTAACCTAGAATGACTCCTAAAAATGGGAGACCCATTGTATAGTGTATAGAATTATCTAGATTTAGGGGGAAAGCTCTTTTTTCAATTGAGTTAACTCAAATCAAGCTAACTTAGCACACTTGAAAACACTATTAAGCCAGCTTGATTGAGTAAACTCAGTGGAAAAACGTACCCTTTTCCCTTAGTTGTTTCAGCCAATGAACCTTTTCCATCTTTCCAAACTGCATTCCTATCCATGCTATATTGCTAGTAACAGATGGTGCTACATGAAGGTATACATAGCAACTCTCTCAACTAGAGCTGGTGAGGAAATGGTTTTCATGTTCCATTAATATTTTTGAGAGTTAGGAAAATTTTCCTGTCTTGATTCTGGGCAAAAAATTAAAATCTCAAAAATCCTCGTGAACCAAAAAAACCAAATTTTACCATTTTGGGTCAATCAAAATATTCTGTTTTGATAATTTTTGTTTTGATTTTGCCCTTCTTTGCAACATTTTTTTCAGTCTAAATAGTTTAAATTTTGAAAGAAGTAGTCATTTTGAACCATAAAAATGAAATTTTTAACTTTGACACTCTATTTCCAAACTTTTTTTCTTAACATTTATTTGAGTCAGGAAATTTGTTGAACCTGACCCTACTTTGCTAACAGTTTAGGTTTCACTGAATTGGCATTTTTTGACAAAAAAGTGATTAATCAAAAAATTCCTGGCCAGCTCTACTCACAACGTAAAGTGCAGTCTAAGATCTACCAGAAAGTATATCTGGCTTCTCCCATTTTGAGGCAAAAAGATACTCCCACAAGATAGGAGTAACTATGTGTCTATTTTTCATAATAGAAAACAGAAAGAAAGAATGAAGGAAGGAAGAAACCAAGGGTGAAATCCTGGTTCTCTTGAAGTCAATTGGATTTATGGCATTGACTTTAAGGGGGGCAGGATTTCATCTCCACGCTGTAGTTTGCCCCCTGCAGCTGGGTTCGCCTTCTCTTTGTTCTTAGAGCTGTATATATGATTGCAACTAAGGGCATGGCTAGACTTGCAGATGTAGAGCGCTTTGAGTTAAACCAGCCTTCGGAGAGTGCAGTAGGGAAAGCGCTGCAGTCTGTCCACACTGACAGCTTCAAGCGCACTGGCGTGGCCACATTTGTGGCACTTGCAGCGGCATTTGGAGCGGTGCATTATGGGCAACTATCCCAGCATGCAAGTGACTGCAATGTGCTTTTCAAATGGGGGGTGGGGTGGGGTGGAGTGTGACAGGGAGTGTGTTGTGTGTATATGGGGGGAGAGAGAGTGGGTTTTTGGGGGCTGAGAGCATGTCAGCATGAGGTCTTGTAAATTCAGACCGCAGCAGACCCCCCTTCTCCCCCCCGCCTCTCTCTCTCACACACAGCATTCCACAGTAATGGTTACTTTGTCTCAGAGCAGATAAGCATGCCAGCTGTCAGAAACGGAGCTTTGAAAGGGCATATCTGCATTCCTGCAGTGATTCAAAAACAATGACAAGAGTGGCCACTTGACTTAAGGGGATTATGGGACGTTTCCGGAGGCCAATCAGAGCACAGTAATGCAACACCTCGTTCACACTGACGCCGGGCATTGTAGCCAAGGCGCAGCAAATGTTATTCCACTTGCCGAGGTGGGGTACCAGGAGCGCTCTAGCTGAGGAGTCAGAGCGCTCTACGTGCCTTGCCAGTGTGGACGGGTCGGGAGTTAGGGCACCTGGGGCTGCTTTAATGCGCTCTAACTCGCAAGTGTATCCAAGTCCTAAGTGTTTCAGTAACATAAAATACTTTTTATATTAACTCATTATTAATAGTTCTACACCTTGGATTTCCTTATCTTAGTGAAAGCTTGCTCTGTCACAATATTATCCACACAGCACTAAAGATTAAATCAGGCATATGAATTAACTTACGTGAAATTGAAGTGGCATTTTTTAATTAAAGGATAAACCACAGCGTCTACAATTGGGACCATAATAACAATCAGAATCGGGTTCACGGTCTGTTGAATGTAAAAATCCAGAAAAAGAAGTTAAGCACTTTCCAAAGTCTTTTTTAAAATAGTGATTTAAAAAAAAGTCTTTGAGGAGTATGTAAAAATATCACAAATGTAGTTTAGTGTACCTGCATCTGGTCTGGCTGGATCTGCATAGCTCCCTAAGGAAAAGAAAAGGTAAATATATTTTAACATTAGAAGACTGAAAAAATGCATAAGAACAAATGAAAAGTCAATAATTCTTTAAAACTTTAAGTTAAAATAACCTACAAAGTTTCCATCCATTGTTGTGGCTTGTAATGTCCATCTTGATCCCTTAATAAAACAAAGTCATAATGAAATGCTACAATAAAGCAATCTGCTCTAGTTACTCCTGAATTTTTTTAAAAGGGAAGAATAGAGGGGGTGGGGAATCAATAATAAAGGAAGACAAAAACTTTCCTTAGGATTACTTTCTTTTCTGCCAATCTTTGACAAAGGTCTGATCCTGAACTACTAAAGGAAAATGTTGGACTTGCAATGGGGTCTTTGGAGGCAGCTTTATGGCTGTCTTCCACAGTGTCTGCGCTGGGGGAATCCTCCCCCAGACAGAACTGGGGCTTTTAGAGGCCTTTTATGCTGCTCCGGTCTTTTTTACCCAGCATATAAGAGCTGGAACCGGGATGAGGATTTTATCTTTAATATTTTTGCTGACATTGTATCAACTTAGATTATTTTGTAATATATATGTTTGAAATATTAATTGATCATACACTTAAAACTTCACAAGAAGCAGCTACTGTATAATAGGAGAGATAAATAAAATAACTTAATAGGTACAGTATATAAATAACTGTATCATTCATAAGTACCATTTTTCATTATCACCAATTTAAATTCTGCCCACTGATTTCACAACATAATGATTGAATATAATTGTACATGTACTTGCAAAAAAATTACACTTTTTTTCTACCTTACCTGCTGATCAAAAAGTGCCCAGAACATGGGAAGAGGAATATACAGGAAAAGTACCCTCAAGACCATCTTAGTTTGGGTAATAAGTCGTTTCTATAGTGAAGAACAGTAAAAAAAAAAAAAAAAAAAGTTGCTAAAAATAGGTAAATTCAACAAAACCACAAGTTTTATATATATATATATATATATATGTGTGTGTGTATATACTAAGACTATTACTATTATTCATATTTTATTCATACTATTGCTATTCGTATCATATTTTAATTCACATTAGAAACAAAGGTCCTGATCATGCAAGACTTGGACACATGCTAAACTTTACAGATTGTGAGTAGTGCTTTAGACTTCAATGGAATTATTTACAGTCCTTTAAAGTTAAGCACATGTGTAAGTCTTTGCACTACTGGGGCCTAAATTAACGTGAAGATAAGAACATAACATAAGAACATAAGAATAGCCGTACTGGGTCAGACGTCTTCAGAGAACTATCCACAATGAATCCAAGGTCTCTTTCCTGATTAGTTGCAGCTAAATTAGCCCCCATCATATTGTATGTATAGTTGGGGTTATTTTTCCCAATGTGCATTACTTTACATTTATCCACATTAAATTTCATTTGCCATTTTGTTGCCCAATCACTTAGTTTTGTGAGATCTTTTTGAAGTTCTTCACAGTCTGCTTTGGTCTTAACTATCTTAGTATCATCTGCAAACTTTGCCACCTCACTTTTTACCCCTTTCTCCAGATCATTTATGAATAAGTTGAATAGGATTGGTCCTAGGACTGACCCTTGGGGAACACCACTAGTTACCACTCTCCATTCTGAAAATTTACCATTTATTCCTACCCTTTGTTCCCTGTTTTTTAACAAACGGACAAAAATGGACAAAACGTGTGCAGGTGTGTGTGAGGAGAAAGGACAAGAGGGGTTATGAAAATAAAGTCCACTGTTACTCAGTAAGGTCTGTACATATATGTGATGGTTACATTGAACTAGACTTTGTTTTTGTTAGTTTGTGTTATTTTATCTCATTTCTGATAGATGATGTTTCAGAAACAAATTTTTAAGAGGGATTTGCATGATGAGGTGGTTTTGAGGAGCGTTTTCAATGAACAGGGGCTACATGGAAGATGTCATGTAGGCAGGAATCAGAGAGGCGACAGAAGGGAGGTTGAGATTTGTGTAACCATTGAAAAATCATCAGGGAGTGCGGAAAGCCACCTAAAAGGAGACATATAGATTGGGGCTTTAAAAGCCATGACAAGAAGTTTGAACTCAGTATGGATTACCAATGAAGGGATGCAATATTATAATAAAGGGACTGTGCAAAGCAACACATTACTGCATTGGTTACATTTTTTTCAAGCTTATTTTCACAAGCATGAAGGCTAGGAACCTCAGCTGGTGTAAATAGTTATAGGTCCTTGGTTTTGAAGGGCCTATGATAATTTTACCAACTGAGGTTGTTTTTTGTTTTATTAGGGTTGGAAGGGACCTCAGGAGGTCATCTAGTCCAACCCCCTGCTCAAAGCAGGACCAATCCCCAGACAGATTTTTTTTTTGGCCCAGATCCCTAAATGGCCCTCTCAAGGATTGAACTCACAACCCTGGGTTTAGCAGGCCAATGTGCAAACCACTGAGCTATCCCTCCCCTCTAAACCAGCAGCAGAGCCAGGAACGGAACCCAGGTCTTCTAAGTCCTAGACGAGTACCCTATACACTAGGCCACATTGACATTGCTTCCCTTATATTTTTTTTAATGTAAGCTTAGATTCTGGAGCACAATTCTGCAGCTAGGAGTGGATTCTCTGACAAATTTCTTGACCATGGAGTCCATAGGGCATTGACTACAATCCTCATTAGTGTAATGTGCATTGTTCGCATGTGTTATCATATATATTGTGTGTTTTCATTCAAAGTGTATTTTGAAGCTGGATTGTTTATATCAAGGCCATAAAATCTACACTGCAGATAGAATACTTGCTATCATATTGAAACTGCTACCAGGTAATTTTAAATATTTGTTCTTAGAGAGAAATACATTTATGTTCAGCCCACTAGAGTTTCCTTAGTGTGATATGTGATCATGCACAAAGCCCTGATACCTGGAGGACAATCTGAAGCTACATTAAGCCATGATGGTAACCATCCTATCTTGCCAGAGCAGTAAGATCTAGCTAGAACACTAGCTTCTGATTACTGTAGACAGACACAGCATTATCTCCCCGGTATTTGTTTGGGGTTGCATAACTAGTGAACAAGGCAGATGGAACAAAAAAGAAAAAAGGGAGAAAGGCATTATCTATCTATCTATCCATGCACACGTGCTCATGCACACACAAATGATACTTACATCATACTTTTCACTAGCCCAGTCCAGCCAGTGTTCTCTTTTGGGGAACTGTTTTCTGCGATGCTGAAATCTGTTTTTAACAGCAAACTGTGAAAAGAACATTAATAAATTTGGATTAATTACACTGAATACCATTTAAACATGACACAACAAATATTTGTAACTACAAGGTTAAAGTGACTTATAATAATAAGAGAAACTATCTTTCAGAGCAATTTATATTCTTTTTAATTTATTTTTATTATTATTAAAAGGTGAATGTTTCTAAGAAACTGTTTTAAACACTTAAAGGAAGTGTTTCGGAGTAGCAGCCGTGTTAGTCTGTATCCGCAAAAAGAACAGGAGTACTTGTGGCACCTTAGAGACTAACAAATTTATTAGAGCATAAGCTTTCGTGGGCTACAACCCACTTCTTCGGAAGTGTTCTGCTATATGTCTCATATGTCTTGGATTCAGGAAAACATTCCCAATATTAGAGGAAACCAAGCAATTCAGAAAAATAGGTAGTGCCTCTTAACACTGGGTGCTGCTGGGAATACTCTGAGGCCTTGTCTACACAGGTTTTTGCAGAGTACACTTTCAGTGTTTAATAAAATAAGAAGATAGTTTCAGTTTTACACAGCAATTCTTCAGAATGGAATTACACTTTAAAAATAAATTTTGTTTACATGAAACATTAATATTTACTTTCTAATGAATTCCTCATGCCAACAACAAATATTATGTAGCTGTGCTAGAGTTACACTGGCAGACCTGTATGTGGGGAGCACAGGACTGGAATAACAGGGGTACTACAGGTCAGGATTGAAGGAACCTGCATTAAGCCCCAGTGAAGTCTCTACCACAGTTAGACCCTGATCTTGCTTGAGGTCTCAAGGAACCAGGATAATATAACTAATGAACTACATAATAATAACTAACATTTACTGAAATTAAGAGACCTTAGCAGCTGGATTGTTAAAAAGTGGTTGATTTGAAATTTAAGTCAACGCAGGATAATTTAAGGTGTGTGTGTGTGTGTGTGTGTGTGTGTGTGTGTGTGTGTGTGTGTGTG